GGCGGAGCGGTTCGGGGTGCGGGGACCCGCCGCCGTCCTGCCTGGGCCGACGCCCCGCGCCTCCCTCACCCACAACGGCCTCAAGGAGACGCTCCTCGACTTCCAGTGGGACCGGCCGGAGATCGCCTCCCCGGCTAAGCCTCTCCGCAGGAGCCGGAGGACGGGGCTGGCCGCCGGAGAGCCCCCCGAGAGCCAGGCGCCCCCCGAGGGCTTTGTGAACGCTGTCTTCCTCTTCTCCCCCTGTCCCCACTCGCGGCGGGAGCTGCGGCAGTTCGTGTCGGGGAGCGACGCCCTTTCCTCCGCTCGTGAGCTGCCCACGGCTCAGGAGCTGGCGGAGAAACTTCTGCCCAAGAGCGTCCAGGAGCTGATTGCGAATCAGAAAATCACGTTGTTCTGGGTGGACACTGCCGAGTGGTCTCAGGTAATGAGATGATACCGCACAGCTTCCAGCCTGTGAGTACTAGCGGGCTGTCTTCTATGCTACCCTCCCCTGTAAGAAGGGAGAGCAGTTTTTTCTGAAAGTAGTCTTTGAGTGGTAGGGAAGGATCTTCAGTTACTACTATGTAATCTTGTTCAGCATGAGACAGAAAACTGGAATGGCAGTCATCCATTTGGAGACTGAGCTATATCTGCAGTTAAGTAGTTGTACAGTGTTTATTGATGGGTTGTCTTGTGCTTTGAGTTAGGTGGGAGTTACAGCTCTTCAGAATTGCAGATAAGCAGTCTGATAGTTCAGGTATCTAGATACCAGTTTTGAAAACCCCAGTTTGAAATTACTGGATAGCAATTCAGTGGGAATAGTATTTTCTTTATTGGATTCCTCTGAAGACTAATAAAGTCCATAAAAACACTTGGAAAGCACTGTGTTTAGATGCTTTGTATACATTTTGTATGCCAATTTTTCTAAAAGCTTGCAATCTTTATTTGTATGAAGATTATCTCACTGCTACCATTAACTTGAGACCTCTCTGTTACTTTCAGCTGATCGAATCCCCAGATCATCTTGGGTACTGGACAATGTTTGAACTGATCTGTCAGATGGGAGGCACCATTTTGCCAGCTGAAACCTTAGTGCAGTGTTTGAGTCACCACAGGGCAAGTCTTGCTCATGGCTTTTTTGGACACTCGAGTTCCCCAGCGCCACAGACTGTTCCTTGGTCCACGCTTCTGCCATTGGACGCAACTTTGAACTTCTTGTTCTCAAAGCCTTCTGTATTTCAAGCAGTATTCCCCCAGCAAGAAGGAATGTTGTTTCTCAGCATGCCTGGTAAGGAAAAAAACCAGCAAAAATAGGTGTGCATAGTAATCACTGTGATCTCTCATGCAGGGTCCTTGATGAGTTTCCCTTGCAAACAGTACATGTAGAAGTAACTTCAGATATTGAAAAGCATAAGTTTACCTAGTTCCTCTGTTTGTTATTGTTCCTCTGATTGTTGATTGCTATTAGCACATATTTCTGATTTAGTCTCTTTGGTTTTCCATGCTTCCAGAAGTTTGGGTGCATGAAGAGCTCTTTGCTGGTCCCACCTCATACAGGTGTATACCCTGTTCTTATACACACTTTGTCTCAGCTTCAATTTAGCTAAACTAAGGACACAAAAAGCCTCTTCAAAAGAAGATGAATTAGCTTTAAAGCAACATGCAGTGCATGTTGGCTCTTTAGTGGTTCCTTTGTGCACTCAGCTCCTTTTTCAGAGCTCAGGGATGAAGTCAGTTCTGCAGTACGTTTAACGTAGAGCTGTTCCCTGTTTAATCTTGGAACCTTCTTTCTCATTGTCTCTTCGTCTAGATGAAAACCTCATTTTACTTTAGGACTTTTGCTTTCTTATCCTTGCACAGGAGGGAATGAGCCAGAAAGCTGTGCTGTGATCCTGGAACCCCTTGCCATGAGCCAAAGACAGCTGCATTGTCCAGTCAGCATCTTTCTGAAAGGCAGCTTGACAGCTTGGAGCTTGGTGCAGGCTGGTCATTTTGTCACAGAGAGCTGGATAGTGCAGAGCGCACGGTCTGAGCAGGCAGAACATAACAGGTCACTGTTTCATCAGCTGTTAAGGAGTCTAGTGACTGAAGAACTGCACATGGTAAATCTTTCTCTTTGTCCCAACTAATACCTATTCTGAAATGGGCTGTAACAAAGGGGGTGACATTGTATCATGTTGTGAGAACAGCAATAGTGGTATCTGTTGCACTGCGAATTGCTCATTTGGAGCTCAATTCAGAGCGTTCTTTAGGAGATCATGTAAATCTATAACTTGTAAAGTATCTGTACCCCATTAGGTCTCTATTTCTAGATAATGTAAACTTTTATCTTTTTTAAAACGTAGGTTGCTGAAGTATCTCTCTCTCAAACTTGGTGCCCCCGCACTGCTGTTTTATCACCACTTTCTGAGAGTACTGCGGTTCTGACTGTTCTCGGTACTGAGAAGACTGCTGAAGTTGAGCAATGCAACCTTGAAGGAGCTGTAGTGGAGAACTCTTCCCAAGACCATGCTCTTCACCTCCCAGATATTGTGAATAGTGTGTTGGGTAAAATCGACACATTGGCAGAGGATTCTCTGGCCAGTATGGGTAGGTGTCAGGAAATGCAAAACTTACCGCTTTTGATTGTCTTTACGTTTGATTTGGAGTGGAAAAATCTAAGGCTAATGATTTCCTCCGTGAGGAGTGTCTCATTTTTGGGACTTGTTCTTTTCATCTTGTCTTCTGTGGCTCAAGCCTTGTGATGTGATGCAGAAATCTGCATGGGTGTACCTTTCTGTTTTATTGACAGAGCATCAGTTTCTATTAACTTGTAGATAAAGCACAGCTACTTGTGCTTGGGGACAAGTTTTTAGGATGAGGTTTCCTAAAATGTGTCACATGGGCCATCCCTGGCCAGTAAAGCCTTTGGGTGTGGCTACAAGGAGGCTGCTTTTAGCTCATCTGTTCTGTGAGTGGATCTTAGGAGTCTCCCTGCCTTATGTATTGGCTATTAAATTGCCCCTCCAGGAGCAAAGGTTTGGAAACCTCTGCTTTAGAGCATATGTGAAGGCTGGGAGGACCTTCTGCCACTTCATTTAGTTTCCTTCTAAATTGTTGTGTGTCTGCTCACAGGAGAAGAAACTCCTCCTGTGCCAGAGTGGGTCCAACGGGAGCTGTCCTATACAGGGGGCTGGCATCCTTCAGTGTTTGAAGCATGGTATCCTGCATCGAACGCTTGTGGAGCGAGCTCAGATCTGATGGAGTCATTCAGGTATCTTTCTGAAACATGTTTCTGAGTAATAATCAAGGATTTCTGCTTCCTGTTAAGGGAGTATGGCTGTAGTGTTGCTCAGAGTTCTAGAATTAAATGCTTCTCTTAGGGCTTTTATTTCTATACTCAGTTTACTGTGTGCTGTTGCTTCCTTATGTCTTAGTGTATAGACAAAAGGAACTGGGAACAGCACGTTTGGGTAGCAACTTGTGTGGATTAAGATCTTAACAGTTTCAGGAGTAACTTACAATGACCTAATCTACTTGGGAAAATGTCAGACTTCAGCTCTTACGGTACCATAAGGTCCACTGCAAAATACTGAAGATAGCGGTCGTGTTGTTGCAGTTAGTATTTAGTAGAAATGAATAAGCCTGCTTTCTTCAAAGAGCTTGCTGACTAAACAAAAAAAGCCTAATGCAGGATAGCTTAATACAAAATTGCTCATGTAGTTTTGTGGCATGGGTCGGTGGCATATCCATTGTACGTCAGGCAACTCTTGTTATCCTTGTTTCTAACTAGGTGTGACCCTTTTAAGAGGGTGGTTTGGTGTTTTTTTATCTTTTAAGCAAGAATTTGGGGGAGCAGGCATTGGAAGAGTACTGGCATGTGTTACTTGCCCTATATTGCTGCGGACTGGCACCCAGAATCCACTGGGAACAAGGGATGTGCCTCTCACTCCCATATTTTTTGGTAACTATTGAATGGCTCTTTTATGTAGGCTCCTGCAGGCTCCTTGTGCTAATGGGAAGGATGATGCAGACCAATCTCAAGTGGAACTCTCAGAAAGTCTGTGTGAGCTGTACCAGAGAAAATTCAGTGAAACATCTGCTGCAGCTGGACAAGGAAATAACAAAAAAAGACGTATGTATGCTTTGGGATTATATTATTATCAATTAAAGATGATAAAGACTTCTCAGCAGGTCTTTTAATGCATGAATCCTAGAGATCTGTACTCTCTGGAGTAGTGGCATGCTTTTAGATTTTTTTTTTTTAGACAGCTCAATTTACATATTAATATTAAGATTGTCCTTTAGTACAGCTCAAATGGCTCTAATTCAAGGCTGTGCAGTGACTGACAAAACTGTTAAAAAGCAGTATGCTGAGCTCTGCAGTTTTGCTAGCTGTTGAAATGGGGACTGTTCCAACTACTAGTAAATATTGCAACCTCTCAACTTCGTTCTAATTTGGAGAAATAAAACACTTTTTTGTAGAAGAGTTTAATCCTTGCATTTCAGTATCACAGCTGCATATACCCTGACCTGATGTATCTCTTAAGTCTTGCTCTGTCAGCTATTTCTATTTCTGTGACATAAGATTGCTTCCTATATATGTAACTTCTGATTATACCTATATAACTTAGAGCATCAGTTTTCTCTTGCTTTTTACTTGGAGAATTAGCTGCCTGCTGTGGGGCTCTTTCATGGAGAAATACAAACCTTTTGGGCCATGTTTTCCACTAGAAGGTTACTATTCTCACTTGACAGTAACACAGAACTCAGAATTATGCTCTGTCTTGGGTGGAGTTCCTGCCCCAGTGTGTCTGATGGTAGAACTTCCTTTTTGTGGCATTGCAGGTGGGGTTCCCCGGACTCCAGTCAGGCAGAAGATGAAGACCATGTCCAGATCTCTGCAGATGCTCAATGTAGCAAGGCTGAACGTAAAAGCTCAGAAGCTTCAACCTGATGGTGCGCCACCAACAGTGAATGAGAAGGTTCCACAGAAGCTTTCAGGAAAAAGATTGGATGAAAAGGTGGAAGAAAAGGAAAAAGCACTTAAAATATCAGTAGGTGTGTGTTATCAGTCCTGATATTTGTAGGAGGTCATATGGATTTTTATGAAAGGAGAAGGGAAGGATCATAAGGGAGTACTGGGTGCTAGGGAGCAGATCAGTGTTTGGGTTATCTAAAGCTTGGCATGGAGTGGTTATTTTTTTTTTTCCACCCTTCTCCAAGTTAGTTTCTGTAAATGTTTACAATGTAGTGTTACAACTACTCCTTGGGGTTAGTTTCCTGCCTTGTCTCCATCTGAAAAAAGTGATAAGAAACTACCTTTTTTCTTTAACCAAAAGAAGTAGAGGGAAGCACCCTATTTACTAATTATGCAGAAGTAAAGGGAATTTCTTGGCTGCTACAGTAACCTGAAAGCTTGCTGGTCTACTTGGAACTGAGTTTATCATTTGCATGGGTCTGGACCTGGGACTGCTTCTGTTAGTGTTCTGTGGTCTGGTTGTGTCTTTGCTGGAGAAAATCTCTTGATGATCCCCTCTGTTCCCCTCTCCAGCTGGAATGAGTGTTTTGTCAGTAAAGTGTGGTGAAATGGCATTTAGTTAATTTAGACCATTTTCCTTGCAGACTTCAAAACTGAGGAGGCACTGCAGTCCCATTTAATTGCAAGCTACCAGAAAGCTGTTGCTGAGGGAGTTCTTTTGTCTGTGTGTGCCCAGAATATGATTATGGCCATAAAAAGGTTCTTGAAAGTACAAGATGCCAAAGAGAAAGAGGTAGGTAAGAGCATGTGGACTGGGTCGTTACTGATCTGGAAATGTAAAGTTTACTATTTCAGGCTACCTTTCCTTCATCTTACCTGAAGTTTTATGCACAGTTGCACATAGTCACAACCACTAGCTACTATCTGTGCTGACTAGTAGTGAAAAACTGTAGGTAGTTGTAAAGAATGTAGGAAAATCCAGTTCAGTTATCGGTTTACACCTTTGGTAAAGACTGCAACAGATGTCTCTTTCCTTTACATTAATCTCATTCTCAATTCTAATTTCACTTACTCAAAGACAGTATTTTAAAAAATACATTCTTGCAAACTGTATTTTTAAAAAATGTGCATCTTCTGGTTTTGCTTTATGTGTCAAACTTAGGCCTACTACTTCTCCAGGAAAGAGAAATAGCTTAAACTATATTTCTTACAATGTTTAACGCTAGCTATAGACTTAAAGTAACTCACTGAAACCAAAACTGGTAAAATTGAGTCACTGAAAAAATTACTGTGAAAGGCAAATTCATAGTTATTGAAGAAGGCCTGAAGCTGTGAGCAGGTGACCATGTCTGATTTCAAGCTGTAAGTTCTACAAAGTCTCATGTCATTGTGACTTTGCTACTGAAAGAAAAAGAGAATTCTTCTCCTTGAAGAAGAAAAATAGCTATTCCCTAAAAAATGGGGTCAAGAGAGGAGGGGATAAAAACCTGTCCCAGAGACTTGAAGTTTTTGCTGTAATTATGTGTCTCTGCAGGTGGCCTGTGTGGAAAGAGTCAGAAACCATCTCCTGAAGACCAGCAAAATGCTCAGACAACAGCATGGATTACAGAAGGAGACCAAAGTTGGAGAGTAAGGGACATTCTGTTTACTAAAACTTCTGAGATACTGTGGAATTGGTTAGCAATCTTTTAAGGGTGGATTTTTTTGTACAAGTGGAGAAATATTTACATGGGTTAAATATTCCAAGGAGAATCTCTGGTCGCAGTGAAAACACTTCAATAAATGCCAATATACATACGCTGTGTGATAAGCATTGCAGCCTATATCTGAAATGAGGCGTCTCCCCTGCTGCCAAAATGAAATGCTAACCAAATTATGCTGTCAAATGGAGTCACTTTCCCTCCCATTGCTTTTTTGAGCAACATACCTTTTGCAGTAAATATGATTCCACCAGAAAAAAAGGCAGTGAATGATTACTTGTTTTCTTAGGTGCCGACTTCAGGTATTTTTGCGCCTTGAGTTATGTCTTCAGTGCCCTTCACTTCAAAGCAACACTGACAAAATGGGGCAGCTGCTAGAAGAGGTGAGTAAATTATAGACCAGGTTGTGGTTTTTGACGGCATTAGAAATGCAGACCTGGAACCTGTAGTTTTCCCTTGATTTTACTGTAACACTTCATATTTCTTGCTGAAAAAGAGTTGGTGTTGCAGCTGTCACAACTTAATCCATTTTCCCACCTGACTTTCTTTCCAGGTGACAGATATGCTGCGCATTTTATGTCTGACTGAAGACCCAGGGTATCTTACAAAGTTTCTAGAGGAAATACTAGAATTGTAAGTTCTTTAGCATGACTTAAGTGTTACTAGGGACTGTTGTTTTGGTTGCATATCTTTGAGATAAAAGCAATTGACAGCTTTGATTTACTTCATCTTCGTAATTTTCAGAAGTTTAGACAATGTTCTCTGTTATGCTTATTTTGATTAAAGAAAAAGCAGCTGATAAGTAAACTAATGAGGAAAAAAAAGTTGATCTTCAGTTGTTTTTTTTAGTTGACGTTTAAGAACAAAGATTTAGTTCAAACCTTGTGATTGAAACACCAACTGTTTTGTGGAGGGTTGTATTTGATGTGGTTTCTCTCTGCTCTAGGTATATAAATTCCATACCGAAGACCCTTGCAGATATTTACTACGGTCTTGGTACACAAATACCCCCGAAACTGGCATCAGTTCTGCCTTCAGATTTCTTCAGTGATGACTCTGTGACTCTGGATAGCAAATCCCCAGACCTTCCACTGTCTCTATCATCTGCCTTAACTCCCAGCACTGTTTGCCTACGCAGTGAGAGTGATCAGCTGGAGGAGCTACGCACCAGATCTGCCAAAAAGAGAAGGTAATAATTCCAAATAGGAGGTAGCTTGTTGCAGCCTGGGCTGTGGCTGAGGAGTTTATATCTGAACTACAGCTCAGTCATCTTTGTTTCTGTTGCTGAATAGCTGGATGGGGTCAGCTGACACCTGCTGATAGCTCTGCAAGCCTTAGAGAAATATTAAGGGCTCCCGTTTTTTGAACTTACCATTGTTGACCATGTGAAAGTGTAAACTTGATTCTGTATGTGTATCTTGTGCACAAGTAGAGTTCGCAAGCATCTTCTGTGAGAGGGAGAGGATGTTCTACTGTGTACTAGGTACTAGGTGACCCTATATTGTCAGTTAAATCTGTGATTTACTGTAGACCTTTATGCTGAGGATCCTGTGTACACTTTAGCAAATTGTGAAATGAGTTTCAACACCACCTTAAAGTTAGGTATAGCTATTTATATTGTAAATCATCTTTGCGTTTTGAGGTACCAATGCAATTTGCAACCTGAATTTAGGTAGAGACGTCCTCTCTCTAGAGTCAAACCTACTAGTTTGAGAACTATACTTCTGATCTTATTTTAACTTAATCTTTGTATATTTTCTAAAGGAATAATGCATTAGCCAGACACAGGAGCATGACAGAAGCACCACAGAACTTGCGTCAAATTGAGATTCCCAAGATAGCCAAGAATCCCATCAGAAAGGTAAAACACTTCCAAAAGGATTGTGTGTGGGTGGGTTCTGCAGGAGTGCAGCAGTATTGCGAAGGACAGTTGAGTGCAAAAACTCTTGCTCTGTATTCACTTAGTAAGTATACCCTGTATCAGCTGGGCAGAGATCAAAATTGTTATGGAGGAGAAATTGAAGTAATGTGTGATTCAGATTTTACAGTTAATATTCATAATGGTTAAACATTAAGCTGCCAGTGAAGCTAACTTGTATTTTTGTTTCAGGAGACCTTGCGTTCTTACCTTGCCACTGAGAAGTCCCAACAGATGCCTTTGCAGAAAGAAGCAGTGCAAGGTATATTGACTTCTAGCTTTTCCATGGAAAGGTGCATCTTCAGCACATGTTCTCCCTGTAAATTTTGGTGAGCCATGATGAAATTATGCTGAAGCATGCTGGAAATCTAAAGGAAGTTTTGCTGAATTCTGCAAACACTTTGAGGGGAAAAAAAATATCACTGTATTCTGTGTGTGCTCACATGCAGAAAACTTAAATCACGTATCCTGAAAAGAAAACCTTTCCATTCTTCCTTGAATCTTGCAATTATTTCCATCTTCTCTGTCCTGAAAAGGAAGCGAGGATGAGAGTGAGCTCCTATATCTGGAAACAGGATATCTCTCTGCAAAATACATAATAAAATTAAATCCTGCATGTATTTCCTGAACCAATATGTCCTTCAGTTGATACAGCTCACTTAATGTTGCTCAGTCTAGGACATAGACTGACCTACCTCTGCTATGGCATCTGCTTGTAGCTTATTGCTGGAATAATGCAAATAACACAAATTTATAAGAGAAGTCCAGAATGGATCTAGAGGAGCACATGTTCCAACAGGAGAAAAACAACTTTTCCATGTTTTGTGGCCTCTAAAAAGTTTTTCTATGCTAGTACGTGATGTTCCTATCTCTAGTGGCCTGACAAAATTATCTTTCTATGACTTTTTTTCTTTTCCCCTTTTTTTTCCTTTTAATCTGACCATTTCTTGTTTTGTCTTGTCCCATAGAGGTTACAAAGGTAAGGAGGAACCTCTTCAATGAAGAGATACTTTCACCATCGAAAAGGTCTATGAAGAAGATGCCTAGAAGCCATTCAGTATCTGCTGTGGAAGGCTTAAGATACAAATGCACCGATGAAGGCACTAAAGGTAGGACATGACTTGCAGGTATAGGATTGTTGTGAAAGAGCTTTTCCTAAAATTCCTATTCTTTTGTCCTCAGGTCTATGAAACAATGATGTGTTTTTAATGAAGGAGAAAATATTTTAGATTGTTGCTGTGGTGTTTGGAGGGTGAATAGGATGGTATTGAAACTGAAACCTATTTTTTACTGATCTCTAAATCTCAAAAGAAAACTAGTGTTAAGAATGCTTGGTTAAAAAAGGATCTATGAATGAAAAATGAGGAATTGAAGTTATCTCAGTAGGTTAATTATGTCTGAGACAAAGTCAGTACTATTAATATTGAGAGAGTGGAAAGGAAATGTAGACACTGGACTCTGAAATGATAGCTTATGAGCGCTGGGAAACTGATGCACAATGATTCTATATTGGCTGTCATTCTTAAACTGAAGCCTATACAAAACTATTTTTTTCTTAATTATTTTATAATTGTGTAATGCTATAGCTTTTGCTTGATTTTTAGATCATCGTAAGTTACTGACCAAGAGGGTTGCAGAAACACCACTACATAAGCAGGTCTCCAGGAGACTACTACATAAGCAGATCAAAGGCCGGTAAGCTCTTTCTGAATTTCTTCAGTAAGTATTAGATGTCTAATTAATGGCTGCGAGCTCAAGAATCGTGTATCTTCTTGTGGTCAAAGTGTCTTCTTCACCGAAGGCAGTAAGAGAACCAGTGGAGGCAAAGTTCCATTGCCCAAGTTGGGAGAAATACTTCATTGGTGTGGGTGCTTCAAGGTCAGGGTGCTTTAATTCCTGCAGCTAACTTCTGTTTAGGTTCAGTTGCTGTTTTGAAGGCTTCTTCAGAAGAGGCCTGTACTGTATTTTGTGGATTCCAGGCTGAAATTTACTTCCATGTAGAACTGTTGCCTATGCAGCTAGACAGTTACCCACACTCAATCCTATGTTAATAGGAGGCAAAGTGCTTACAAATTACTCAGAGTAGCCCACAAAGCAATATTTTGTTGTGGAATAGAGTTCTGCTTTTCAATTTATGTGTTAAGTTCTGTTTTGTAAATGTGAAGTGTGCTAAGTCCAAAATGTCTGCTGTTTCTCAAGGTCTTCTGATCCTGGTTGTGACACGGGTGTTGTAGAAGAATCTCCAGAGAAGGCTATAAATGGTACGCACTGATTTTTGACTGAAGGTGGTTTTGCTGTGTTGTAGCTTGTAAGATGAGCATGCTTCAATTTAAGTAATTTGTGAATAGTCAGTACAAAAGTCTTGTACTGTTCTGTTGGTGGCATACAGCCTCCTCTGATAGAACCACTTGCTGCTCACTGCTTTGACAACCCTGTACAGTAGAAGTTAAGAGGGGTAGATAGTAACTATTTTAAATGAAGATACATGAAGGACTTTGAGGGTGAACAAAATTCCGAGCTGTTATAATTGCTGTCAAACCAGCACATGTAAGGTTTTTTTAATGTAACTTCAACATGTGCTGTGACCCTAATATTCCTCTGATTTCTACTGTAACAGATAGCCACCTGGCTCTGTGGAGTGTCTCTGTGTTGGCTACTGCTGTTTCTTCTCCCCAGGAATGAAGAAAACAGCATAGTTGGGCAAGCAGGAAGATGAAATCACTGGTAAAAAGAGACAGGAGAATTAATGAATCATTTAACCTGGATGTAACTTAAACATGGCTTTTCTAGCATTCTTTTTCTATATAACTGCTAGATAGGGATAAGAGTAATCATGACTTAGAGGAAGGGGCATCATGATTTTTGAATGAGACTCGTATGCATTATTCTAAGTCCCCAAGAAAGTTGAAACTTTCTTTTTCTCATGCTTGCCTCCCTACATGAGATAGTTAGCTAGCTGTATGGAAGTTTCTTCTTAGTGTGTTCTTTCCAGTTACAGACTGCTCCTGAAGTTGCCTCCATTGCTGAGGGAGAAAGAAGGCTCAATCCCCAATATTCTTTTTCAGAAGCAGGTTTGAGAAGAAGCCCACGCATCAAACAGCTGTCTTTGAGTAGGACCTGCTCTGGTGTTTTCTATTCCACTACACAGCCCAGCTCACAAAATTCACAGCAAGCCCATCAGGGACAAGAAGAGGAGAGCTCTACACAGCAGGATGTAGAAGGTACTGAATGGCATTTGAGCAGGCTGATATTGGTGATCTGAAAAGCTGACATGGATAGCTCTGAGTTTGATCTGGCTCTACAAGAGACTGTAGGAAGCTAAGAGCTATCACGTAATATCTTCCGTAGAAAGAAATTCATCCACAGTAATTAATTTTGAATTGGGAACCTGAATTTGGAGGGTGGTAAGGCAGCTATTTCTATGATGAATGCAGTCCCAACTTAAGAAACCAGTCAGGCCCATCTAACAGAATACCACTGATTGTCAGTCTGCATTCTTTAAATGCAGTGAAATCCCTGTAAAATACGGGACAGAAATCCTAACGCTTACTTTCAGTCTACTCTGTGGTAGCATAAAGAAATGACTGATGGGATCTTTGCTGGCTTTCTCAGTAGGATTATCAGCTATAAATGATGACATTTAGTTCTTTATATTGTACTCACTAGAATCCTTAGTCGTGAACCAGAACTTTCTTGAACTATAAGCTATAAGTAGAATAAGAGGCTGAGCTATTTTGTACTTTTTCTGCTAGAGCACTCTTTCTACAGATATTAGTTTCATATTGGAAAATAACAATAATTCTGGTGAAGCTTTAACGTTTAGCTAGAAAAGAATATGCCAGGGCTATAGGCTTTGTACAGTACTTGTACATATATCTGAAGTGATTGAGGCAATTGTTAGTGGCAGGTTACTTGGTGTTAGTTCAATTGTGCTGTTCCACTTACAGGCATTAAGCAGCTTTCAGAGCGCCCCACTGTCCAGACTCCCAAGAGGTTTTTCTTCGGTGCAGTCATTGACACATGTAGTCCTGCAGTGAAGCCTTCACCTGGAAGGAGAACAAGAAAAGGTTCTCTACACTTAGAGGAGCTGACTACCTGTCAGGTAGAAGCACTTACCTCCCTTTCTTCCCATCCCCTTTTTCTATTTCTGTTTAGTGAGACCTACACATTTTAAATTTAGAGTTTAAGTCTAATCAAATGGGTTTTTTATGTTAAATCTTGAGAAGTAAATATCAAGAGGGATAGGTAATACTGCTGGAATAGAAGGAACATGATTCTTTAATATTTTTTTTCCCCTGTAGACTCCTAAAAAAACACCCCATAAATGTGCCCAGAAGCCACTGAATTCTGCTAGTAAGCTACCAAGGAGATCACCTCGCATTGTCCACAGGACACCTCAGAAGCTGGAGAAGACTCCTGGCAAAAGTCCAGCTGCTAAGCAGACTGCAGCTAGGTGTTTGGGAAAGTACTTTTCTCATCCTGTACACGGGGTCAAGTCACCGTCCGCGTTAACTGAAAGTAAGAGGGTTCACTTACTGCAGGTAACTTCTAAGGACTGTTCTCCAGCACAAAGACTTTCCCCTCCTTGCAAAGAGGCTGCCTTACAAAGACCAGAACGTGAAGGGTTTGCAGTGCTCAGTACCTCATTATTACCTCTGACAGATTCAAATCCAGCTGCTTCTTCCCCCTCTGCCGTTAGGGAAAGATATTTTGCAGAACTGCAAACTCCAAGGCGTTCCTTGCGATACCTCTCAAAATTAGCATCTCCAGTTAGTACTCGGAGGCAAATCCTACCAAAGGAAATTCAGGTGGAGTCAGATCCATTATCTCAAGCAACTGAAAGTACTCCCAGGAAACCTGAAGATTCAGGTTCAAAATCAAGTGCCAGCTCACTGAGTGCAGAAATACCGCAGCTCGTTGTGAGGCTAGACCCTCCCTTCAGTTCTCCTCTCCATGAAAGTTCCACGAACACTGTGGCAATCAGCTCTCCTTCCCATGTGCAGGGTAGGGAGTCTGACTGGGAATTATCTTTTAAAAAATCTCCAGGTATTACTGGCACTTCACTGGGGTCTCTGGTTCATGCATCCAAGCAAGCCAAATGTGAACCTAACCCTGGAGGAAAGAACCTTGCACTTGCAACACCTGAAAGTAAGGACAGTCATCATGATGGTGGTAACTCTTCTGGAGAAAGTCTTCAGTTTTGTCAGTCCCAAGTTACTGAAGATACCCCTGTATGGGAAAAAAAACCCCAGATGGTGGTAGTGTCTCAGAAGTCTTCTCCAAGAGAGGACTCAAACTTGGAAAAGCATTTTTCCCCAAA